TTCCCTCTCACCCCCCCCACCATCAGCTTAACTTGTGTCAACAAACCCTAAGAGGCCTCCTATGGCCATGGCTCAACAAGAAAACAGTACCCTACCCTCATGTGCCCTGCCCCCTCCTTAACATTTTATTCCCTCAACTTTTTCCCTCTCACCCCCCCCACCATCAGCTTAACTTGTGTCAACAAACCCTAAGAGTCCTCCCATGGCCATGGCTCAACAAGAAAACAGTACCCTACCCTCATGTGCCCTGCCCCCTCCTTAACATTTTATTCCCTCAACTTTTTCCCTCTCACCCCCCCCACCATCAGCTTAACTTGTGTCAACAAACCCTAAGAGGCCTCCTATGGCCATGGCTCAACAAGAAAACAGTACCCTACCCTCATGTGCCCTGCCCCCTCCTTAACATTTTATTCCCTCAACTTTTTCCCTCTCACCCCCCCCACCATCAGCTTAACTTGTGTCAACAAACCCTAAGAGGCCTCCTATGGCCATGGCTCAACAAGAAAACAGTACCCTACCCTCATGTGCCCTGCCCCCTCCTTAACATTTTATTCCCTCAACTTTTTCCCTCTCACCCCCCCCACCATCAGCTTAACTTGTGTCAACAAACCCTAAGAGTCCTCCCATGGCCATGGCTCAACAAGAAAACAGTACCCTACCCTCATGTGCCCTGCCCCCTCCTTAACATTTTATTCCCTCAACTTTTTCCCTCTCACCCCCCCCACCATCAGCTTAACTTGTGTCAACAAACCCTAAGAGGCCTCCTATGGCCATGGCTCAACAAGAAAACAGTACCCTACCCTCATGTGCCCTGCCCCCTCCTTAACATTTTATTCCCTCAACTTTTTCCCTCTCACCCCCCCCACCATCAGCTTAACTTGTGTCAACAAACCCTAAGAGGCCTCCTATGGCCATGGCTCAACAAGAAAACAGTACCCTACCCTCATGTGCCCTGCCCCCTCCTTAACATTTTATTCCCTCAACTTTTTCCCTCTCACCCCCCCCCACCATCAGCTTAACTTGTGTCAACAAACCCTAAGAGTCCTCCCATGGCCATGGCTCAACAAGAAAACAGTACCCTACCCTCATGTGCCCTGCCCCCTCCTTAACATTTTATTCCCTCAACTTTTTCCCTCTCACCCCCCCCACCATCAGCTTAACTTGTGTCAACAAACCCTAAGAGGCCTCCTATGGCCATGGCTCAACAAGAAAACAGTACCCTACCCTCATGTGCCCTGCCCCCTCCTTAACATTTTATTCCCTCAACTTTTTCCCTCTCACCCCCCCCACCATCAGCTTAACCTGGGTCAACAAACCCTAAAAGGCCTCCTATGGCCGTGGCTAAACAAGAAGAGACTCCCCCCAGTGCAGACCTCCCACACACCCGCCTCCCTCACTCCCTCCTCCCTCACTCACTCCTCTTATCCCTCCTCCGCTACCACCACCAGCACCACCACCACCTCCTCCTCCACTTCCACCCCACACAGTGGGCTAAGACGATCCGCCTCTGCTGCAGCAGCCACAGCAGCAGTCCCAGCAACAACCGCAGCAGCCCCGGCAGCAACAGGACCAGGAGCAGCACCATCAGCAGAAGCAGGAGCAGGAGCAGCAGCAGCAGGAGGAACAGGAGTAGGAACAGGAGCAGGAGGAGCAGTAGCAGCGTCTACATCAGAAGAGGAGGGAGAGGAGGACGTGTTATCCGGCCTACTCCCCTCCTTCGAGTTCCCCAACCACTTCCCGCCCTCTATAATCACAGAGGGCCCTCAGTTCGGCCCGTGGCGGCGTAGGGTTGTGACTCTAGCAGCGGACGGGGCAGGGTGGGAGGAAGCGAGGCTGCTGCTGCCAGGGTGGTGTGCTGACTGCGTGTGGAACGACCGACTGCCTCAGAGGGACCCCAGCAAGTAAGACATGAGCTGCTGCTTGCGCATGCATTGTAACTGCCAGGAATAAGAAGCGGTCTCAATTTTGCTGCTGCTGCTGCCAGGCCAGGGTGGTGTGCTGACTGCGTGTGGAACGACCGACTGCCTCAGAGGGACCCCAGCAAGTAAGACATGAGCTGCTGCTTGCGCATGCATTGTAACTGCCAGGAATAAGAAGCGGTCTCAATTTTGCTGCTGCTGCTGCCAGGCCAGGGTGGTGTGCTGACTGCGTGTGGAACGACCGACTGCCTCAGAGGGACCCCAGCAAGTAAGACATGAGCTGCTGCTTGCGCATGCATTGTAACTGCCAGGAATAAGAAGCGGTCTCAATTTTGCTGCTGCTGCTGCCAGGCCAGGGTGGTGTGCTGACTGCGTGTGGAACGACCGACTGCCTCAGAGGGACCCCAGCAAGTAAGACATGAGCTGCTGCTTGCGCATGCATTGTAACTGCCAGGAATAAGAAGCGGTCTCAATTTTGCTGCTGCTGCTGCCAGGCCAGGGTGGTGTGCTGACTGCGTGTGGAACGACCGACTGCCTCAGAGGGACCCCAGCAAGTAAGACATGAGCTGCTGCTTGCGCATGCATTGTAACTGCCAGGAATAAGAAGCGGTCTCAATTTTGCTGCTGCTGCTGCCAGGCCAGGGTGGTGTGCTGACTGCGTGTGGAACGACCGACTGCCTCAGAGGGACCCCAGCAAGTAAGATATGAGCTGCTGCTTGCGCATGCATTGTAACTGCCAGGAATAAGAAGCGGTCTCAATTTTGCTGCTGCTGCTGCCAGGCCAGGGTGGTGTGCTGACTGCGTGTGGAACGACCGACTGCCTCAGAGGGACCCCAGCAAGTAAGACATGAGCTGCTGCTTGCGCATGCATTGTAACTGCCAGGAATAAGAAGCGGTCTCAATTTTGCTGCTGCTGCTGCCAGGCCAGGGTGGTGTGCTGACTGCGTGTGGAACGACCGACTGCCTCAGAGGGACCCCAGCAAGTAAGACATGAGCTGCTGCTTGCGCATGCATTGTAACTGCCAGGAATAAGAAGCGGTCTCAATTTTGCTGCTGCTGCTGCCAGGCCAGGGTGGTGTGCTGACTGCGTGTGGAACGACCGACTGCCTCAGAGGGACCCCAGCAAGTAAGACATGAGCTGCTGCTTGCGCATGCATTGTAACTGCCAGGAATAAGAAGCGGTCTCAATTTTGCTGCTGCTGCTGCCAGGCCAGGGTGGTGTGCTGACTGCGTGTGGAACGACCGACTGTCTCAGAGGGACCCCAGCAAGTAAGACATGAGCTGCTGCTTGCGCATGCATTGTAACTGCCAGGAATAAGAAGCGGTCTCAATTTTGCTGCTGCTGCTGCCAGGCCAGGGTGGTGTGCTGACTGCGTGTGGAATGACCAATTGCCTCAAAGGGACCCCAGCAAGTGAGTAACCGGCCCAGTCAAAAACCAGTAAGCCTCTTGTGTATAACCACAGAGGGCCCTCAGTTCAGCCTGTGTCGGCGCAGGGTTGTGACTCTAGCAGCGGACGGGGCGGGGTGGGAGGAAGCGAGGCTGCTGCTGCTTCCACCTGCAGCCCTTGGATGGCTCACAGCTTTGAGACCTTCAATGCTCACCTCCCCTCCCTCTCTTTGTTTGTGTGCTCCCCTGAAACCCCCACGTATGCTGCTCCCCCTCACCCTCTCTCTTCCCTCACAGGTGCAGCTTCTATCTTCAGCCGTTGGATGGCTCACAGCTGCGGCCGCTGACGCAGAACAAGCTGAGTGCTCCGAAGATTCTCAAAATCCTCAAGGTATGCTCGATGGATATTGGCGGGTGGTGGGGTCGATGCAGGGGAGGTTGTGGGGAGGGAAAGGGCATGACACGGAAGGGCAAGAAAAACAGTCATTTCCTCCTCTCCTTTCTTGATGTCTCTGTTGCAGGAGATGAGCTACGTGCAGGAGAAGCTCGAATCACCACTTGGCAATTCAAACATTTATTACAAATGTTAACAAATCCGCCAGTTCCTCCTCTCATGTTTGACATGCAGGTAATGAGCTACGTGCGGGAGAAGCTGGGATTGGACGACTTGCAAAAGGACGAGGAGGAGAGTGGAGGGGGGATGAAGGGGAGAGCAGATGGGGCATTGGGACCACTGGCCCCTCCTGTGGTGGTTGAGATTTTCTGCAATAATCAGGTGGGTTTGTTTGTTTGGTGTTTGATAAATTCGATAAACAGCAGGCTATTCTTTGCCATTGTCCAGCACACATGGTCTAATATGTATTGTTTTGTGTGTTCCCCTTATGGCAGCTTCTGAAGCCAGAGATGAGCTTAGCCACTGTTCGCACATACGTTTGGAAAAAGTCTGAAGACCTCGCCCTTTTCTATCGCCTTGCGGCTCCAACTCTCTAGCCCGCAGAAAGCCTCAGTGTTAAAAAAATACATTGTTCGTTCCATTTTTGGACGCTGCCTAATGTCCCCAATATGTTGGCATGATGGTAATGGTTACAATCAAAATTAGAATTAGCTGGAAATTCCAAATCTGATTATAGGTAAAGGCCTGCCTAATCCCGTTTCCAGAAATCCACGATATAGGAGCGCTACGGAGAGCAGGTTGTGCTGCTTCTTGCGAAGCCTGCAAACGTGGATGCATATTGTTCACATGCTGCCACGCAAGATCCAAGCAAGACAATCCTAGTGACGCGTGGTAGGAAACGCTGCGACGTGGCACCGGATCTTGAGAGGCCTCGCGGAACACGTGTTCATGACGTGTCCGTTACCGTGTCGTGTTCCGTTCCAGGCCCCAAGCTGATGTTTTCAAGGGTCCGCTCCGCCTAGTTACGTAACTGGCAACCTTCCGCGACATCCCGCGCAAACCCCCGGCTGCCTAATCAAAATGGCGGGGAGCGCGACATTCCCAATGGTGAAATTTCTGCAGACTAATTTCTAGGAGCTTCTCATTTCAGCGGATTTTTTTTGGATCCTTGCAGTACGCTGTTCAGGTGGTGGCCGTCAATTTCAGTAGCGTGGAATCGGCTCGTTTTGCCGTGCAGCGTAGTTGCCGCTGTTACCACCACTACCACCTATACCACCCCTCGTGAGCCAGACGCCAATCATGGCCTCCACTCTCGCCGCATCGTCACTGTCGTCCCGCATTTCCACCAGTCTAGCGTCGACGCTCCCTAGACATGTCAGCAGCAGCCGCGTCTCGCGGCTCGTCGTCCGAGCGTCCAGCGATGACGAGGAATTCGAGGCTCGTCTGGAGAGCCTAAGGCGGAAAAACGCGAGCGGAACGGGGAAAAAGGCGGAGGAGCGGAAGGCCAAGGCCAGCGGAGACGCTCCGCCTGCTCCCTCCACGTCATCCGCTTCCTCCGCGTCAGACGCCACGTCAGCAGCTGCAGAAGCAGCTAAAATCGCCGAGATCCTGCCTCCTCTTCCACTGAAGGATCCCATGTCCGACGGGTTACCAGTTTTGCTCGGATTTTCGTCGTACACGGAGCGATTGAGCGGGCGGCTCGCAGCCATTGGATTGGCCGCTCTTGTCTCGGTGGAGCTCGCATCTGGATCGTCCATTTTGGAATACCACGACGGCGCGACTCTCGCCGTACAGGTGTATTTTCTCCTGGGTCTCGGCGCGCTTTACGTCAAGTATGAGAAAGACAAGTCGAGCGTTCTGCCGAAGTAGGTCTGCCAATGCCAATTTTGATTAATAAAAGCCAAATATAACTTAAGCGTAATCTCCTTGGCGTTGTTGTTTTCCTTTTTTGAAAGAAACAAACGAACTGGATAAGCTAGCGCTGAAAATCTAGCAGAATGTAGAGTGAATATGCGCAATGTAGCAAGGGCATTGTTGGTGCACTCAGTTCTTCCCCCCTCCCTCATTCTCACGATCCCCGTCTGTCCTCCTGACCCCCGCTCTCTACTCTCCCCCCTCTCCCCCCCCCCCCCACACACGGCGTCCCGTCCCCCTCCCCTCTCTCTCACGTTACGTCACTCCTCGCCGTGTTCGATTTTATCTCTGTCTTATCAATCATCCAATCCAACCCCCCAGCTCTCGCCCGTGCATTATTAACCATCTCCCTATTACTTCTTCCCCCCCTCCCCCCCCCCCCCCTCCTGTGTGGCACCTTCCTCGTAGTTTCGTATCTCTCATCCCTAGGCTCCTCCGTTCCTCTCTCTGCTCCTCATTCACTCCCGTCATTCCTCCACCTCTCCCTTCTCTCCCCTCTCCCCCCCTCCTCTCCCTTCTCTCCCCTCTCCCCCTCCCCCCCTTCCTCTCCCTTCTCTTTTCTCCCTCTCGCCCCCTCCTCTCTCCTCCTCTCTCCCCTCCGTCCCCTCCTGACTTCTCCTCTCCCCTCCTCTCCCCTCATCTCCTGTCCCCTCCCCTCCCGTCCCCTCCCCTCCACCTCCCCCCTCTCCCCTCCCCTTACCCCCTTCTCCCCTCCCCTCCCCTCCTCTCCACTCCCCTTCTCTCCCTCCTCTCCCCTCCTCCTCTCCCCTCCACTCCCCTCCCCTCCTCTCCTCTCCCCTCCTCTCCGCCCTTCTCCCCTCCTCTCCTCTCCCCTCCTCTCCCCTCCCCTCCTCTTCTCTCTTCTCCTCTCCCCTCCTCTCCCTTCCTCTCCCCTCCTCTCCACTCCCCTCCATCCCTTACACTCTCTCGTTCTGCACCTTGCCCCCCCTCTCTCGTCATCCCAGTCGTCACACCTGCCATCTGTGAGCCTGTCACCCCCACCACCTCTCCCCCAATTACCACCCACTCTCTCTTTCCACACCTTGACTCTCCTATCCCTTCATCCCAGTCGTCACACCTATCATCTGTAGGCCTGTCACCCCCACCCCCACCACCGCCATTCGTACTGTACCTTTGCTCTTATCCCTACTTGTTGGCCTTGCTCTACTGTTGTTATCCCTAAAACATAACCCCTTCCTTTCCCGTCTGCAGTCCACCCGTGTTCATGTTGCATGATTTCAGTCGCCTATACAGCTCCCACAGGAATAAACGCACATTCACATGCTCTTTAGGGTCTGCACTGCCGCACACAATACACATTGAAGCATCTACACAACTGCCACTCACCCAGAGCCCATTTTTTCAACCTTTTTGCTACTCAATGTAATGAATCACGATACCATATTAAACGTCAGGAGCATTCAGAGCTCATGACTCTCCCTACTCTTTTTGTCAAGATAGTAGCTAGAGGTGAGGAGCCATGCTAGGGTGAAGAGGAGAAAGTGACGAGAGAGTTTAGGCAAGGAAAGAGGTGTTTCACTATAGCACACAAGGTACATATAGCAAAGCAACAAAGAAGGTGCACCACCAACTCTTAATAATAATAACTACAGTACCTACAGCACGCAGGGTATATATTAAACATATTGTTTGACACACCCCCTTAGCCTGCGTGCGGTAGAAACTGGTGCAGCCAGCACCCCCTGAACGAGCAAACCAAGCGCTGTGGAAGAAGGCAGAGAAGTGAGGAAGGTGAGAGGAGAGGAGAGAAGAGGAGAGGAGAGGAGAGGAGAGGAGAGGAGAGGAGAGGAGGTGGGGGGCCAGGACCGGCGGACCCGCTTACGAACCTCCTTTTACAAAGGGGAGGTGAGAGAGGGAAGGGAGAGGAGGTGGGCTAGGCGGGCTTGAGCGCGAAAGCTCATAGCGATCCCCCCCCGTTAAGAACCCCCAAGTCCCGATGAGGAGAGGAGGTGGGCTAGGCGGGCATGAGCGCGCACGCTCAATGCGATCCCCCCCCGTTAAGAACCCCCTAGTCCTCACCCCCTCGTCACTCAACCCCGTCAACCTCACACCTTCCGCACCTGTCTTCTCCCGCCACCCCCTCACCCTTCTGCACTTCTCTCCCCCCTCTTAACCTCGCTCCTCCCCCCCCCCCCCCCTACAGCAACAAATGCTGCAGTGGAGAGAGGAAGAGGGAAGGGAGGGACAGCCTGCTGGAGGTTCAGACCCGCCACCCCCACGTCTCCCCTCCCCCCCCCCCCCCCCACGACTGAAGCCGCGGAAGGGAGGGTGGGAGGGGGGGCAGCGTGAGCAGCTGCCGGCGCTGGCGCTGGCGGCAATCGCAGCTGCTGGCGGTGGCGCTGGCGGTCCGCGCAGGCACTGGCGCTCACGGCTGGCTGCGCCGCTAGCGCTGGCGCTGGCACTGGCGCTCGCGGCTGGCCGTGGCGCTGGCGTCCGCGCTGGTGAAGGCGGATCGCGGGGCGACGAGGGCCGCGGGGCGACGAAACGGGGTTCGCGGACGACGGGAAGGGGTGCGCCCCGACGACGGAACGCAGGGCGCCGCGGCGACGGAACACGGGGCGCCGCGGCGACGGGAACCGGGCGCCGCGACGACGGAAAGCGGGCGCCGCGGCTACGGGAACGCGGGGCGCCGCGGCGACGGGAATTAGGCGCCACGGCGAACGGGGAAAAAAAAAAAAAAAAATAGCGCGTTTCGCGCTGTAGTACGGGCGGGCCCATGATTCTTAAAAAAAAAGAGAAGGTTCCGGGAAAGAACCAGCTCTGTACCATGTCAAGATAGTAGCTAGAGGTGAGGAGCCATGCTAGGGTGAAGAGGAGAAAGTGACGAGAGAGTTTAGGCAAGGAAAGAGGTGTTTCACTATAGCACACAAGGTACATATAGCAAAGCAACAAAGAAGGTGCACCACCAACTCTTAATAATAATAACTACAGTACCTACAGCACGCAGGGTATATATTAAACATATTGTTTGACACTTTTTGCAACCTTTTGGCTAAGGTCTCCCGTGCAACACATTTATCGGTAGTACAGCACCAACCAGCAGTGCTGCATAGCGTCGATGGACTGCACATCTTTGACAGTATGCATTAGCATTTCGCAGTCTGCATTGCGTGTGACAGCCGGTTTGCATTACGATGCTATCAACGGTCAGCGTCGCCACTCACAGCAACTCAACCAGTGTGTGTGTTGTGTACTACTTCTTGGGTTCTGGCTTGGAACGAGATTGCATCAGGTACTGAAAGCAGGAATCGAGGAAAGAATACAATGCGAGAGGGATTAGTAAAAGCTGCTATACAATGTACCAGATAAATCTTTTGGCACACCTGGTGAACCAGATTGAACATACCGTCTATTCCCTTCCCGGATATAAGACCCGGGGGTCTTTCCAAAAATTCATTTAAAAAATGCTACGGTGAACATCATAAAGGCTGGAAATTGATAGACCCCAGACATCTATTTTATCCGAAATCGAGCCTAACTTAAAGCAATCGCGAAGCGAGGGTCGCCGGTCGGGCCTTCCATCTGACACGGTCAATGCGTCAGATTTCGAGCCTGACGCATTGACTGCGTCAGAATTTCGCTCTATCCACCTACAAACTGATTCGCGAACGAGAAGCACTGAAAACTGCACAGACTGCACTAACGAGGGGGGTCTTAAAATGTTTAGCAGCAGCAAAAGGAAGGTCCTCGCAAATTAGACCAGTAGGGTCTCAATATCCGGGAATTGAGAGTAAAGACCACACTAAACATTTCACATCACCTTGTGTACAGAGCAATTACTTGGACTAACATTGGTGAGTGCACATACAAGAGCATCTAGGTTATTATACACTGCCACAAGCAGGATTCTGCGAAGAGTCACTTGGACAGCCTACCAGCTGCAAAAACATTTAAGCAGCAATGGTCCTACTTAGGAACTTTCCAGCAGCAAGGTGCTTCAACAATCTATCAACCTGAGCTGCCTCTTCACGACTGCCCTTGCGCCAGTCCTCATTCGAGGCAGCAGCATGCAAGGCAGCATTTGCATCATCGAACTGCTGCATCAGAATTCCCACCTTCCCTGTCAGCTCATGCACACTTCCCAGAAGGCCAGACAACGTCGACCTCTCCTCTTCCAACAGATCAGGCTTCTTAGATTTCTTGGAGCCACTGCTGCTGCTCTTCCTTCTCCCAGTAGGGGAGTTGTACTGACTCATGACGCTCTTGGAGCAAGAACGATACTTGGAAGATGAAAGCTCAGCCATTAGCAGGCCAGCAGCAGTCCTGAGGTGAGACTTGGCCTTCACCAAGCGCGCATTATGCTGTGGGGCTTCGAGGGAATAGCTCAGCTTCTCAAGCGAAGCCATGATGTCAATGCTTGAGTATGCAAAACCTGAGAGACTGATCGATTCTTGGACCTGCAAAAATTACATGCCAAAAGGTGGCAAATCGTCAGCTCTCCAGCTTCAGACATTGATGAGAGTAGAACTAGAGAGACCAGTACACACCTCAGCTTGTGCAAGACACAATAAAGCTTCAGCATGCTCAAATGCCACACCAGCCACGGCAAGCCCTTCAACTGCAGCATTCAAACTACTGAGCCGATCTTGACCCGTCTGAGTGTCTGCAATCAGCCTGAACACAAAAAAAAAGGACCATTAAAACCCAAACATAGAGCACAAAACGCTGACACAAAACACAATCCAATCTGCGTACCTGAGGCAACGAGCCAGTTCACCCTTCATTCCATGCTTCCGAGCAGACATGTACGCACTGAAAATCAGCCGCCTTCCCTCCTGCACCTTCCCATGTGCTAGAGCTGTGGCACCAGCCAACCGCTCCATGGAGACCTTGGCAAGGAGCGAGCCAGACTTGTGCGTGTTAGACCTCTGCTTGACATCTGGCTGATGCTCTGGAATGAAGACAGAAGTTCCAGCCCGCTCCAGAGGGTTGATTGAAGCAGGTGGACTGGAAGAAAGCTCAGGGGAGCCCTCTCTGGACCTGGAAACATAGGAAGGATTAGAAAGTTTGAAGTATATTTTCTATACATACAATATGCATACATATCTGAACAACCAATTGGCATGTGTTGCCTGCCACGACACTACTTACATGAAGACCGGGTTCTCCAAAGTGCTCTCAGGAGAAAACAGCTGGTTTTCGTCATCCAATCCTGAACTGCCAACCTGACAGACACAAGGCACGAAACAAGATAAGAAATCGTCCACCGCAAAAGAGACAAATGAATGCTCAGATGAACGCAAAAAAAGACCACACTCTTACGCACCTTAACAAACAGCGAAACACCGCCAGGTTTACTGGACGACGGCAGGCACTTCTCTGCATCCGAGACAGTGATGGTTGTTGTCTCGAGGCTTTCTACCAGAGAAAGAGCAGAAACCATCTTCGGTGGACTGCAGCAAGGGCTGGCAGACGGCGAGTGAGCTCCGAGACCTGATCGGCGACCATGAGACTTGGGAACAACGATAGACCACCCATCGTCGTCCAACAAATCGTCCTTATCCACTACTGCGGTCTCGGTATCCTCCTTGACGACACCCTCAACATTTGCGCGTTCTCCTGTCGATTCACATAGCTTGTCCTGGTTGCTTGCTGCGGGACAGCTAGCAGGTGTTTTTTCCGCCTCCTGTGCCGGCACCTTCTCCGAAACTTTCTCCTTGGAAGCTTTCTTGGAGGACTTGCTGCTCTTGGAACCCTTTCCATGCTTCCCCTTCCCCGCGTGCTCATTCCGCTGCCTCCTCGAATAGATCTTGCGTTGGTTGCGCCTCCCAACAGTGTGGGAGATGAGGCTCGGAATCGGGTCGTACACGTCAGCAGCCCAGGTGACGCGAAGCCCCGAGGGACGCGGCGATGATCCCTTGAGGGCTGGCTTGAGCTGAGCAGCCTGAAGAACAGAACGAGCGCGAAAAACAGAGAAAAGGCTAAGATGGAAAAAGGTTCACTGCAAGGCAGGGAGGGAGTGACAAGCTAGCATGTTTTGTCCGGAATGACGCCCAATAAGTACCTCCTCTGCGCAGACTTTGTCGCAACCAGCAGCGACGTCATTGGCAGCACCATGTGGTGCACCAGCAGAACTTAGTGCGCAGCTACTAGCGGAAGCAGTCGTTGCATCATTCTCCTCCCCAGAGGGGTCGGTAGTCGCACTGACTAGGCAGCTCTCTACCACTACGTTATCCACCCCACTTTGCAATTCTGTTGTCTGACTGGCATGCTCGCTGAGGAGAAAGAGAAGAAAGAGAGAAAAAAAACAGCATAACAGGACGTTAGCACGACTTGGCAAGCGCAATCAATTTTCGAAAAACTGGAACAATTGACAACTTCTGACATACTTCTGTCAACCTACCTGTTACCCGTTGTCTCCTCCACGGATACTTTGACTGATCCACTAGGGTTTCCAATCCACCCATCTTCAAGCTGCCTAGAGATATCAACCGAACCGCTGCTTATGGCACCGGAAATACTGGGTGAATCCTGAACGGCTTCTACGGCGGCCCCAAAGATGTCAAGTGCTAATGCGAAGCTCACACCACCACCAGCAGCATATTTGGATCCCTCCTGTTGCACACTCTTCCCAAGCGCAGGAGCAAGCAGCGGAGGGCTCGAGCAGCGAGCATATTCTTTGATACCCCTCGGAATGGGGTTGTTGTTCGGAGAACCCAAAATCATTTGCCAGCAGAAATCACGGTTGCGGAAAGGAGAAGATAGCATGAAAGTAGGGGAGGTAATGGCGTTGAGGACCCGTGCTAGTCAATTACTTTCCTCCATTTTGTGAAATGTTCCAAGGAGAAACAGCAGCACAGAAGGTTGAAAAACATGTGACCCTGTTCTAGGGTTTGCATTTGTAGCTCCCACCCCACGCAGCACCTCCTCTCCATCCCTGGGATTGTCGCCTTGCATTGTGGTTGGATTGGGTTGGGGAAGGAGAAGACGGGCGTATTGACGAGACTTTGGTGCTGTGAGTTCTACAACGGTTGATTAAAGAGAAACTACGGTTTTTCAGGGTTTTGAGGAAAGAAGCATTCTGATCTGCGAAGATGGAATCTCCCAGCGGAAAACAAGCAAGCTGAAAAAACAAGCAAGCAAGCTGGGGAGCGGACGGAAAACGTGGGATCAAGGATTTTTTTCGGGGAAAGTACATCTCAGCTCCTTAGTTTCAAAACTTTCTGGAATCTATCCCCAAGTTTACTCAGAAGATACAACTCATTTGATTTCTGCCCACGCGAGGCCCACATTATGTTCAAAACTGGTCCTGCGGGGCAAAAAATTCAACACGTGTCCACTTTCGCACTGAAAATTTTTGGACGGGGGCAAAAAGCATAAGCTCCCTAGGGAACCAGGACTCATTATCGGGAGGGATCAACCCTAAACACGGGAACCCGCTAGGTGGTTAGGGTTGATCACTCCCGCGAATGTGTCCCGTTTTTAAGGGGTTTTATGTTTGTTTGCCCCTTTCCAAAACTTTTCAACGCTCAAATGGACACGTGTCAAAAATTTTGCCCTGCAGGACCAGTTTTGAACATAATGTGGGCCTCGCGTGAGCAAAATTCTAATGAGTTGTACCTTTTGAGTGAACTTGGTGCTAATTTTGAGATAATTTTGAAACTACGGAGCTGGAATGTACTTTCCCTTTTTTCGAAAGGGCAGTTCAGTTTCTGTGCGCTGGCGGAAGAAGTTGCGCACCGAGTCTGAACTGAATTGCTTTTGCGGTGGTTCTAGAATGGCGGGCGGAGGAAGGTGCCGACTTGCGGGCTTCCGCAGCTGGGGTCGCCGTGCGCAGTCGCTCAGCAGGCCACATGATGTGAAAGTGCCAGCCCATGTGATGGCATTGTTGGCTGGTGCAATGTATTGCGTGGAAGCTAACAGTGCAAAATAATGACCGGATGAGGCCCGCCATCTAACGGCGGCATTCGTTGGACGTTGAAATTGACGGTTAGATGCTGCCCTTTCGCGAGGTTGTCGTGATCCTGAAGCTGCTTTGGGAATTGGGATGTCGCTGGCCTCTGCGCGCCACGTCACTTCTGCCTTGCTTTTGCCATCATGCATTGGAGAAAGCAGCATGATTGGTCAATTCTCCATGCTGTCCAAAGCCACGTGGCCATCGAGTCATTCGATCTCTTTATTGCACAACCTACCAACAGCTAAGATCACATAGGTACAGCATCAAGGCAGTAATGCCACCAAATTAATCTAAGATATCTAACAATATTAGAGACTCAAATCTATCATGTCCATCTTAAGTAACCAAGGTATTCAGCAAACTGGCTGCAGGTGGCCACACAGAAAGACTCGCTTCTCTTTATGCACAACCGGCAACCACGCAGCTCCCACCTCACTTGGTCCTCATCATCCCTCCCCACATTTCCATCTTCACCACCAACACCATTCAAACCTTTATTTCCCTGAACGCACTCCCTGGCACTTCCTCTTCTCCCTGACCCCCCTCCTCTAATGATCGCCCTATATTCCAAGTCGACTTCAGCTAAAAGCCCTGTTCCAAACACCAGCGCAGGCAAGACAGAGCAAAACACCAGCAGGCCTAGATCATCAGCCTGATACTGCGGATGGCAGCTAAGCAGCTCCACCATGCGCCCGTCCGAAGGCCTCTGCACGTGCAGCTGAGCAGAGAGCTCCTGGGCAAAAGCAGACGGCCGATCCGGGCCTTGCATTGCCATGTGGGACATCTTGTGATAGTCGGATAAGAAAGTGGGGGAAGAAGGGAGAATGGATGAGTTAGCAGTGGTTGCTGAGGGACTGGAGGAAGGGGACGAGGAGGTGGAAGGGGTGGCGACTGAATCTGGAAGGGTGAGTGGAGCGGACGAGTTTGAAGAGGAGGAGGCTGAGAAAGAGGAGGAAGTAGTTGAATCAGGGTGTGGCCGCCATAAGGGGCTGTTTTCATGAGCAGCATTCAGATTCTTGACAACAAAATCGAAATCTCCCAGATCAGCTGTCTCTGACAGGATCAGATCTTTCTGCTGGAGAGCCATGGACAGCCGTGATTGGCCGTGGTGGGAAATGTCAAGGAAGAAGGTGAGGGAGGGGAAGGAGAGGGGGGAGACTGCAGGGCGAGGGGGGCCACAGCTCAGCCTGCGATAGGCGAATGCGCGGAACGAATGTGCTTCAGGCGAGTGTTCTTCAAACGAAAGTTGCTTTAACGAGTTTTCTTGTAAAGCATAGCCAGCGCGAGTTTCTGCACTGGGTAGGGTTGGGGAGGTAGATTCAGAGGTAGAGGCGTGAGAAGAGATGGCTCGGCTGCTGCAAGGAATCATCCTTCGCTGCTGCTGCAGTTGCTGTGGCTTCTGCTGCTGTTGCTGCTGCGGTAGCTGGTTTTGGTGCGTCCTCGGGTGGAATTTACTTGGTGGATCAATCAGCGCAAGTGTCTGTCCGCGGCGTGACTGTAACGAGGGCCACATTTCGCGCGCGAGCGCCGCCCAGAGGCTCTCGTCGCGCGACACGGCGCGCCACTGCGCGGAAACGCACGCCGCCCGCGCGAGCTCGCGCGCGGAAAGGCAGCGGAAAACGCGGTACAGCGTGCTGTCATCCAGGGGAAAGGCGGAGGGGAAAGCGGAGGGGGGAGCGGAGGGCGGAGCAGAGGCAGAAACAGAGGCGGAGGAGAGAGGGGAGGAGAACGGAACAGTCCGGGTAACGCAGGGATCCTCAGTCTGTGAGCCAGCCATCTGATCCTCCACACGCTTAGCCAAATTGAAAGAGCTTCCGCCGGAGAATCGGTGAATCGGTGAATGTTTGAATTGGTGCGGACGAGCTAAAGCAGGATGGAGAGGAATACAGCGACCGCCTCCCCTGCCGCGTACTGCCTTCCGGTAAAAGAGGGAAACGGATAACTGGGCGTTGGAACGGTAAAGCAGTATTATGGAGGACCAGACTGGGTGTGCAGTCGTGGTGAGGGAGAACGAACACTCCTGATGCAATTAGCCGCGACTTCTAAGACGAGTTGACTTTTGAGTCGACTCAAAAGTCACAACGGATAACTGGTCGTTGAAACGGTATAGCAGTATTATGGAGGACCAGACTGGGTGTGCAGTCGTGGTGATGGATAATGAACACTCCTGGTGCAATTAGCCGCGACTTCTCAGACGAGTCACTAGTAACCTCGGACAAACAGCCGCTACGTCATGACTCGGGATTCCCAAGCAGCCTTACGTCGAAAGTCGGGATTCGCTCTGACGGGAAAATCAAGCAGGAGAGGCTAGGATGGCCGAAACAAGCGGAGGCACAAATGGAGGCACCGAAGTGATCGCGACATGACTCGACTGGAGTGCTTCGCAATTAGCCAGTTCACTCTCCAAGTTGGAACTCACTAAAAAAAAAAAGCGTAAGAAAAACGTATTGTCTATATTGATGCGGTAACTGCTTCGCAAACATTGTTGAGCTAAAAAGTGGAGGATCACAGCCTGAATATGCGCTAACATTTTGTACCACTCTTGCTTCTAATACACTTGCCATTCTCAGCCTCTTTTACAAATTCCCCGTGGTCGCAGCCTTTGCAAGAGCTAGCCTCTTCAGCAGTGGCGCCGCTTCATCGTCCCTCCCCTGCTGCTGCAAATTCACCACCAGAGACCCTGCAATCACCACTACCCTGCCTTTCCAAATCATCCTCATTACAAGCCTACTTGTTACAAGTTACCTGTAGCTGCAGCTTCAGCAAGAGCCAGTCTTTTAAGCAATGGCTCAGCCTCATCGTCCCTCCCCTGCTGCTGGCACCACCAGAGAACCAGCAATCATTAGCGCCACATCCCCCATAGGCCCCACTGCTCCTTCCCCAACCTTTCCATCTGATCCTCAATATAAACCAGCTCGTTACAAGCTCCTCATCACAAATTGCCAGCAGCCGCAGCCTCGGCAAGCGCCAGTCTCTTAAGCAGCGGCTCAGCCTCGTCATCCCTCCCTTGCTGCTGCAGATTCACCACCAGAGACCCGGCAATCACCAACGCCGCATCCCCCATCGGCCCCACTGCCCCCTCCATCCTCGCTAAAGCCTTCCTCAGTAGCAGCTCCGCTGCCTGTGCCCGGTCTGTGGCCATGAGTATGAGTGCCAGGTTGCGCTGGGCTTGCGCTGGGGTAGGGTAGGGGGGGGCGGGTGAAGGAGACAGGAGGGAAACCAGTGTGGGGGAAGGGATGGGTGTGAGGCGAGGGCCAGCGCCCGCTGCCTCTGCCGGCCTGTGCCTGGCCTGTGGCCAGCCTGTGGCCATGAGTACGAGGGCTAGGTTGCGCTGGGGGGATACAGTGGAGACAGACTGGTGGAAAACCAGTGTGGGGGAAGGGGATTGGTGTGGGGGGAGGCCAAGCTCTGCTGCCTGTGCCCGGCCTGTGCCCGGTCTGTGGCCACTGGCCATGAGTATGAGTGCCAGGTTGCGCTGGGCTTGCGCTGGGGTAGGGGGGGGCGGGTGAAGGAGACAGGAGGAAAACCAGTGTGGGGGAAGGGATGGGTGAGAGGGGAGGGGCCAGCCTCTACTGCCTGTGCCCGGCCTGTGTCCGGCCTGTGCCCAGCCTGTGGCCTGCCTGTGCCCAGCCTGTGCCCAGCCTGTGCCCGGCCTGTGCCCGGCCTGTGCCCAACTCAAAAGTCACCTCTTTTCCACTGCTGTCTCAGCGATCGTCAGATGCTCCTAGCCAACCCCTCCGCAGCACCACCTCTAAAAGAAGGCCAATTCAAGTCAACTCAAGTCAAACAAAGTCAAACGAAAGGTGCCTACTTAGCATCTCCACACTGTCTCCTCTCAATCCAGCCTTCTCCACAGCTCCCTCAGCGATCATCAGATGCTCCCTCGCCAGCCCCTCCGCCTCCTCAAACCACTCCATCTGAGCCAGCCACAGCTCTAGACGCTCTACCCTGCAGTCAACCAAAGTCAACATACGTACCTAGCATCTCAACACTGTCTCCTCTCAATCCAGCCTTCTCCACAGCTCCCTCAGCGATCATCAGATGCTCCCTCGCCAGCCCCTCCGCCTCCTCAAACCACTCCATCTGAGCCAGCCACAGCTCTAGACGCTCTACCCTGCAGTCAACCAAAGTCAACATACGTACCTAGCATCTCAACACTGTCTCCTCTCAATCCAGCCTTCTCCACAGCTCCCTCAGCGATCATCAGATGCTCCCTCGCCAGCCCCTCCGCCTCCTCAAACCACTCCATCTGAGCCAGCCACAGCTCTAGACGCTCTACCCTGCAGTCAACCAAAGTCAACATACGTACCTAGCATCTCAACACTGTCTCCTCTCAATCCAGCCTTCTCCACAGCTCCCTCAGCGATCATCAGATGCTCCCTCGCCAGCCCCTCCGCCTCCTCAAACCGCTCCATCTGAGCCACACATAGCTGTAGCCTCTAGGCGCCTTACCCCCTATCCCAGTCAACTCAAGTCAACTAAAGCCAAATCAAGTCAACCGAGGTCAATCAAAAGCAGGTTGCTTACCTAGCATCTCAACACTGTCCCCCCTCAGTCCCGCCTTCTCAACAGCCCCCTCAGCGATCATCAGATGCTCCCTCGCCAGCACCTCGGCCTCCTCAAATCGCTCCATCTGGGCCAGGCACAGCGCCAGCCGTTCGATCGGCACGGCCAACCGCGCGTCGCCAGCTGGCACCGCTGACCTGGCGATCTGCAGCGCGCGGCGGAGTAGCCGCTCCGCGCCCTCTGATTGGCCGATGGTCATGCGGGACTGCGCGAGTTGGATGAGAGGGGGGACGAGGGCCGGGGAGAGAGGGCCGACGGCTAGCTCCTTTGCTGAAAGGAGCTTCTCTCTTATGGCACACGCGTCTTCATCCCTGTAATGCGAGGGTGGGAGCAAAGAAGAAAGGAGAGGAGAGGACGGGAGAGGAGATGGGATAAGTGGGAGGATGGTCACGCGGGACGGGCCGAGTTGGATGAGGGGAGGGACGAGGGCTGGGGAGAGAGGGCAGACGGCTAGCTCCTTTGCTGAAAGGAGCTTCTCTCTTATGGCACACGCGTCTTCATCCCTGCAAGGAGAGGAGGAGAGCAGGAGAGGAGAGGAGAGGGAGGAGGGGGGGATTGGGATTGGGATTGGTTGCGATGCAGGATTGGGCAAGCCACAGGAGAGATGGGAGAGGAGACCCACTGCGAGCCACAGGAGAGATGGGAGAGGAGACCCACTGCGAGCCACAGGAGAGATGGGAGAGGAGACCCACTGCGAGCCACAGGAGAGATGGGAGAGGAGACCCACTGCGAGCTCCTTTGCTGACAGGAGATGGAGAGACGAGATGAGGGAACCAGAGACAGGAGAAGTAATGCGTTAGTCAGTGGACGAGAGGGGGGACGAGGGCCGGGGAGAGGTGACCCACTACGAGCTGCTTGGCTGAAAGGAGATTCTCTCTTATGGCACACGCATCTTCATCCCTGCTCAGGGGAAGGGAAAGAAGGGAAGGGAAAGAAGGGAAGGGAAAGAAGGGAAGGGAAAGAAGGGAAGGGAAAGAAGGGAAGGGAAAGAAGGGAAGGGAAAGAAGGGAAGGGAAAGAAGGGAAGGGAAAGAAGGGAAGGGAAAGAAGGGAAGGGAAAGAAGGGAAGGGAAAGAAGGGAAGGGAAAGAAGGGAAGGGAAAGAAGGGAAGGGAAAGAAGGGAAGGGAAAGAAGGGAAGGGAAAGAAGGGAAGGGAAAGAAGGGAAGGGAAAGAAGGGAAGGGAAAGAAGGGAAGGGAAAGAAGGGAAGGGAAAGAAGGGAAGGGAAAGAAGGGAAGGGAAAGAAGGGAAGGGAAAGAAGGGAAGGGAAAGAAGGGAAGGGAAAGAAGGGAAGGGAAAGAAGGGAAGGGAAAGAAGGGAAGGGAAAGAAGGGAAGTGGGCACGGTAATGGGCGAGGTGGATGAGGGGACGGACGAGGGCCGGGGAGAGGGGTCCGAAGGCTAGCTCCTTTGTTGAAAGGAGCTTCTCCCTTATTGTACATGCATCTTCGTTCCTGTGAAGAGATGTGGGAGAGGGTGGAGTGGAGAGGAGAATTGGGACGACTGTGGTGCGTGAAGGATTGAGCAGGTTGGATGAGGGGTGGGACGAGGACCGGGGGAGGGGCGGGACGACTAGCTCCTTGGCTGAAAGGAGCTTCTCTCTTATGGCACACGCGTCTTCGTCCCTGTTGAAGGGAGTCGGAGGAGGACACATGGGGATTGTTGTGAGTGGTTGAAGGCGGAGAGGAGTAGGGATATGGTGATGAGGGATTGGATGAGTTGATATTGACAATCACTCGCACACAACCCCCCCACACCCACCAGTTCAATATTTCGTACAGCATCAACAGTACGACATATCGTACAGCATCAACAGTACGACATATCGTACAGCATCAACAGTACGACATATCGTACAGCATCAACAGTACGACATATCGTACAGCATCAACAGTACGATTTGTGCCTGCTCGAAGGCTGGGAATGCTGACTTTATGCCTAGCTTAGCGCGTACTGCGCGCGCACGCACGCACACACGCACACTCACACACGCATGCACGGACGCACGGACGCACGCACGCACGCACGCACGCACGCACGCACGCACGCACGCACGCACGCACGCACGCACGCACGCACGCACGCACGCACGCACGCACGCACGCACGCACGCACGCACGCACACACACACACACACACACACACACACACACACACACACACACGTACACACACGTGCGCACCATGCTATGCCATACACACACACCTGTCCAATATGTCATTAAGCATGCTTGGTTCGATCTGAGCCTGCTCAAAGGCCGGAAATGCTGAGTATATGCCATGCTAGCGCATACCACACACACACATACGCACTATGCTGTGCCATACACACACACCTGTTCAATCGAATACCATGTACTGCAACATACCATGTACTGCAACATACCATGTACTGCAACATACCATGTACTGCAACCTACCATGTACTGCAACATACCATGTACTGCAACATACACACCTGTCCAATATATCGTAAAGCATGCTCAGTTCAATCTGGGCCTGCTCGAAAGCCGGGAACGCTGACGCTCCAAGCGCGTTCACCAGCGCTCGCGGGGTCCCCGCCAGCTCATCGTCGCCCCAGGCCAGCTCAGCGCCCGCTCCTGCCAGCTCAGCATCCTCTCCCGCCCCACCCTTCCTCCTCTGCTGTTCCACTGCCTGTTCAAATATCCGAAGTCCGCTTTCCAACACCCCCACTGCTAGATCCGGGCGACCTGGGGGAGTGGGTCATGGCGTGGGGAAAGAGGGCAAGGCAAGAGGAGGGGGGAGGGTGGAGAGAAGAAGCACGAGTGCCAGGAGTTAGTTGGTCCCTTCCTCACCCTTCATTTCAACCAATCTCGATAGACTCGTTATGAGCCTACTTTGGGTACTCGATAAAAGCCCTCCCTCCCACCTTGTGCCTGCCTGACTTGAGAAAGAGTGCTATTGTCCCACCCTAAACTTCACTATTGCTGCCTCCATTAACGTCAGCCCCTCTCCCTCGCTAGACTCGTTACAAGCCCACCCACCCACCTTGTGCCTGCCTGACGTCAGAAAGAGTGAACTCCACTATTGCTGCCTCCATCGATCTGCCTCTTCCTCCCACTCCTACACACCCTCTCCTGACTCGTTATAAGCAAGACTCGTTATAAGCCCACCCACCTTGCGCCTGCCTGACTTGAGCGAGAGTGAATTCCACAATAGCTGCTTCCATCGACGTCAGCCCCTCCTTCTCTATCAGAATGTCCTTGGCGCTGTTGGTGTGAAGGGGCAAGAAGTGGGGGAGGAACGGGGGACGATGAGAGGAAGGGGTAAGAGACACTAGGGAGAAGTGAGGATGAAACTAGGGAGAGAGACGAGACACTGTGGATCACACATAAAACTGCTTCCATTGACGTCAGTCCCTCCTTCCCTATCAGAATGTCCTTGGCGCTGTTGGTGTGAAGGGGCAAGAAGTGGGGGAGCAGTGGGGAACGATGGGAGGGAGGGAGGAATAAGTGACACCGTGGGTGGGTAAATCCCCTTTCCACAATGCTTCTGTTCCGTCGATGTCATCCCCTCCTTCTCATTCAGAATGCCCTTGGAACGGCACTGCAGAGACTTATGAGTCGACTCAAACGGCACTGCAGAGACTTATGAGTCGACTCAAACGGCACTGCAGAGACTTATGAGTCGACTCAAACGGCACTGCAGAGACTTATGAGTCGACTCAAACGGCACTGCAGAGACTTATGAGTCGACTCAAACGGCACTGCAGAGACTTATGAGTCGACTCAAACGGCACTGCAGAGACTTATGAGTCGACTCAAACGGCACTGCAGAGACTTATGAGTCGACTCAAACGGCACTGCAGAGACTTATGAGTCGATTCAAACGGCACTGCAGAGACTTATGAGTCGACTCAAACGGCACTGCAGAGACTTATGAGTCGACTCAAACGGCACTGCAGAGACTTATGAGTCAGCTCAAACGGCACTGCAGAGACTTATGAGTCGACTCAAACGGCACTGCAGAGACTTATGAGTCGACTCAAACGGCACTGCAGAGACTTATGAGTCGACTCAAACGGCACTGCAGAGACTTATGAGTCGACTCAAACGGCACTGCAGAGACTTATGAGTCGATTCAAACGGCACTGCAGAGACTTATGAGTCGACTCAAACGGCACTGCAGAGACTTATGAGTCGACTCAAACGGCACTGCAGAGACTTATGAGTCAGCTCAAACGGCACTGCAGAGACTTATGAGTCGACTCAAACGGCACTGCAGAGACTTATGAGTCGACTCAAACGGCACTGCAGAGACTTATGAGTCGACTCAAACGGCACTGCAGAGACTTATGAGTCGACTCAAACGGCACTGCAGAGACTTATGAGTCGACTCAAACGGCACTGCAGAGACTTATGAGTCGACTCAAACGGCACTGCAGAGACTTATGAGTCGACTCAAACGGCACTGCAGAGACTTATGAGTCAGCTCAAACGGCACTGCAGAGACTTATGAGTCGACTCAAACGGCACTGCAGAGACTTATGAGTCGACTCAAACGGCACTGCAGAGACTTATGAGTCGACTCAAACGGCACTGCAGAGACTTATGAGTCGACTCAAACGGCACTGCAGAGACTTATGAGTCGACTCAAACGGCACTGCAGAGACTTATGAGTCGACTCAAACGGCACTGCAGAGACTTATGAGTCGACTCAAACGGCACTGCAGAGACTTATGAGTCGACTCAAACGGCACTGCAGAGACTTATGAGTCGACTCAAACGGCACTGCAGAGACTTATGAGTCGACTCAAACGGCACTGCAGAGACTTATGAGTCGACTCAAACGGCACTGCAGAGACTTATGAGTCGACTCAAACGGCACTGCAGAGACTTATGAGTCGACTCAAACGGCACTGCAGAGACTTATGAGTCGATTCAAACGGCACTGCAGAGACTTATGAGTCGACTCAAACGGCACTGCAGAGACTTATGAGTCGACTCAAACGGCACTGCAGAGACTTATGAGTCAGCTCAAACGGCACTGCAGAGACTTATGAGTCGACTCAAACGGCACTGCAGAGACTTATGAGTCGACTCAAACGGCACTGCAGAGACTTATGAGTCGACTCAAACGGCACTGCAGAGACTTATGAGTCGACTCAAACGGCACTGCAGAGACTTATGAGTCGACTCAAACGGCACTGCAGAGACTTATGAGTCGACTCAAACGGCACTGCAGAGACTTATGAGTCGACTCAAACGGCACTGCAGAGACTTATGAGTCAGCTCAAACGGCACTGCAGAGACTTATGAGTCGACTCAAACGGCACTGCAGAGACTTATGAGTCGACTCAAACGGCACTGCAGAGACTTATGAGTCGACTCAAACGGCACTGCAGAGACTTATGAGTCGACTCAAACGGCACTGCAGAGACTTATGAGTCGACTCAAACGGCACTGCAGAGACTTATGAGTCGACTCAAACGGCACTGCAGAGACTTATGAGTCGACTCAAACGGCACTGCAGAGACTTATGAGTCGACTCAAACGGCACTGCAGAGACTTATGAGTCGACTCAAACGGCACTGCAGAGACTTATGAGTCGACTCAAACGGCACTGCAGAGACTTATGAGTCGACTCAAACGGCACTGCAGAGACTTATGAGTCGACTCAAACGGCACTGCAGAGACTTATGAGTCGACTCAAACGGCACTGCAGAGACTTATGAGTCGACTCAAACGGCACTGCAGAGACTTATGAGTCGACTCAAACGGCACTGCAGAGACTTATGAGTCGACTCAAACGGCACTGCAGAGACTTATGAGTCGACTCAAACGGCACTGCAGAGACTTATGAGTCGACTCAAACGGCACTGCAGAGACTTATGAGTCAGCTCAAACGGCACTGCAGAGACTTATGAGTCGACTCAAACGGCACTGCAGAGACTTATGAGTCGACTCAAACGGCACTGCAGAGACTTATGAGTCGACTCAAACGGCACTGCAGAGACTTATGAGTCGACTCAAACGGCACTGCAGAGACTTATGAGTCGACTCAAACGGCACTGCAGAGACTTATGAGTCGACTCAAACGGCACTGCAGAGACTTATGAGTCGACTCAAACGGCACTGCAGAGACTTATGAGTCGACTCAAACGGCACTGCAGAGACTTATGAGTCGACTCAAACGGCACTGCAGAGACTTATGAGTCGACTCAAACGGCACTGCAGAGACTTATGAGTCGACTCAAACGGCACTGCAGAGACTTATGAGTCGACTCAAACGGCACTGCAGAGACTTATGAGTCGACTCAAACGGCACTGCAGAGACTTATGAGTCGACTCAAACGGCACTGCAGAGACTTATGAGTCGGCTCAAACGGCACTGCAGAGACTTTTGAGTCGACTCAAACGGCACTGCAGAGACTTATGAGTCGACTCAAACGGCACTGCAGAGACTTATGAGTCGACTCAAACGGCACTGCAGAGACTTATGAGTCGACTCAAACGGCACTGCAGAGACTTATGAGTCGACTCAAACGGCACTGCAGAGACTTATGAGTCGACTCAAACGGCACTGCAGAGACTTATGAGTCGACTCAAACGGCACTGCAGAGACTTATGAGTCGGCTCAAACGGCACTGCAGAGACTTTTGAGTCGACTCAAACGGCACTGCAGAGACTTATGAGTCGACTCAAACGGCACTGCAGAGACTTATGAGTCGACTCAAACGGCACTGCAGAGACTTATGAGTCGACTCAAACGGCACTGCAGAGACTTATGAGTCGACTCAAACGGCACTGCAGAGACTTATGAGTCGACTCAAACGGCACTGCAGAGACTTATGAGTCGACTCAAACGGCACTGCAGAGACTTATGAGTCGACTCAAACGGCACTGCAGAGACTTATGAGTCGACTCAAACGGCACTGCAGAGACTTATGAGTCGACTCAAACGGCACTGCAGAGACTTATGAGTCGACTCAAACGGCACTGCAGAGACTTATGAGTCAGCTCAAACGGCACTGCAGAGACTTATGAGTCGACTCAAACGGCACTGCAGAGACTTATGAGTCGACTCAAACGGCACTGCAGAGACTTATGAGTCGACTCAAACGGCACTGCAGAGACTTATGAGTCGACTCAAACGGCACTGCAGAGACTTATGAGTCGACTCAAACGGCACTGCAGAGACTTATGAGTCGACTCAAACGGCACTGCAGAGACTTATGAGTCGACTCAAACGGCACTGCAGAGACTTATGAGTCGACTCAAACGGCACTGCAGAGACTTATGAGTCGACTCAAACGGCACTGCAGAGACTTATGAGTCGACTCAAACGGCACTGCAGAGACTTATGAGTCGACTCAAACGGCACTGCAGAGACTTATGAGTCGACTCAAACGGCACTGCAGAGACTTATGAGTCGACTCAAACGGCACTGCAGAGACTTATGAGTCGACTCAAACGGCACTGCAGAGACTTATGAGTCGGCTCAAACGGCACTGCAGAGACTTTTGAGTCGACTCAAACGGCACTGCAGAGACTTATGAGTCGACTCAAACGGCACTGCAGAGACTTATGAGTCGACTCAAACGGCACTGCAGAGACTTATGAGTCGACTCAAACGGCACTGCAGAGACTTATGAGTCGACTCAAACGGCACTGCAGAGACTTATGAGTCGACTCAAACGGCACTGCAGAGACTTATGAGTCGACTCAAACGGCACTGCAGAGACTTATGAGTCGACTCAAACGGCACTGCAGAGACTTATGAGTCGGCTCAAACGGCACTGCAGAGACTTTTCAGTCGACTCAAACGGCACTGCAGAGACTTATGAGTCGACTCAAACGGCACTGCAGAGACTTATGAGTCGACTCAAACGGCACTGCAGAGACTTATGAGTCGACTCAAACGGCACTGCAGAGACTTATGAGTCGACTCAAACGGCACTGCAGAGACTTATGAGTCGACTCAAACGGCACTGCAGAGACTTATGAGTCGACTCAAACGGCACTGCAGAGACTTATGAGTCGGCTCAAACGGCACTGCAGAGACTTTTGAGTCGACTCAAACGGCACTGCAGAGACTTATGAGTCGACTCAAACGGCACTGCAGAGACTTATGAGTCGACTCAAACGGCACTGCAGAGACTTATGAGTCGACTCAAACGGCACTGCAGAGACTTATGAGTCGACTCAAACGGCACTGCAGAGACTTATGAGTCGACTCAAACGGCACTGCAGAGACTTATGAGTCGACTCAAACGGCACTGCAGAGACTTATGAGTCGACTCAAACGGCACTGCAGAGACTTATGAGTCGACTCAAACGGCACTGCAGAGACTTATGAGTCGACTCAAACGGCACTGCAGAGACTTATGAGTCGACTCAAACGGCACTGCAGAGACTTATGAGTCGACTCAAACGGCACTGCAGAGACTTATGAGTCGACTCAAACGGCACTGCAGAGACTTATGAGTCGGCTCAAACGGCACTGCAGAGACTTTTGAGTCGACTCAAACGGCACTGCAGAGACTTATGAGTCGACTCAAACGGCACTGCAGAGACTTATGAGTCGACTCAAACGGCACTGCAGAGACTTATGAGTCGACTCAAACGGCACTGCAGAGACTTATGAGTCGACTCAAACGGCACTGCAGAGACTTATGAGTCGACTCAAACGGCACTGCAGAGACTTATGAGTCGGCTCAAACGGCACTGCAGATACTTATGAGTCGACTCAAACGGCACTGCAGAGACTTATGAGTCGACTCAAACGGCACTGCAGAGACTTATGAGTCGACTCAAACGGCACTGCTGAGACTTTAGAGCCGACTCAAACGGCACTGCAGAGACTTATGAGTCGACTCAAACGGCACTGCAGAGACTTATGAGTCGACTCAAACGGCACTGCAGAGACTTATGAGTCGACTCAAACGGCACTGCAGAGACTTATGAGTCGACTCAAACGGCACTGCAGAGACTTATGAGTCGACTCAAACGGCACTGCAGAGACTTATGAGTCGACTCAAACGGCACTGCAGAGACTTATGAGTCGACTCAAACGGCACTGCAGAGACTTATGAGTCGACTCAAACGGCACTGCTGAGACTTTAGAGCCGACTCAAACGGCACTGCAGGGATGGATGAAGAAGAAGAGTTGAAGAGTGCGGAAAAGAGAGAAGGAAGATTGCTGTTCAATATCTACAAACAAACATACATAGGCTGCACAAAAAATGGTGTAGTCATTTGAACAAATGGAAATAGAACAGCCTATGGTGGAGATTGGGAAACCCTTGAACTCCGAATAAATCCCCAACCAGAAGCATCACCCACCGCAGAATGCTGCCTTCAGCCTCCTCCACCCGCCCCCCTTCCATCTGAATCTGCGTCAGCCGCACCAGCATCGTCGCCACCCCGCGGGACCTCTCCCCCCTCGCAGCTTCATACAGCTCAGCTGCTTTCCTCTGCACCGCCTCCGCCTCCTCGTGCCTCTGTGCTTCCATTAACGCATTGGCGAGGCTGCACAGGGTGGACGCCTGCAGGTAGTGCTCGCCACCTGGGGAACAGAGTGGAAGGTGATGAGAGCGCAGTCACAGTCTAAATCTTCCCCCCAACACCTTTTTGGACCACCTCTGCTGCTCCTTTTCGGAACACTTGTGCTGCTCCTTTTTGGAACACTTGTGCTGCTCCTTTTTGGAACACTTGTGCTGCTCCTTTTTGGAACACTTGTGCTGCTCCTTTTTGGAACACTTCTGCTGCTCCTTTTCGGAAAACTTCTGCTGCTCCTTTTTGGAACATTTCTGCTGCTCCTTTTTGGAACACTTGTGCTACTCCTTGAAACTGAGGCAAGCTAACCCAGCCACACACCCTCCCTCCCCCCCTGTTTGAAACGATACTGCCAGTTCTCCCAAGCATGCTTGCTGCTTCCCATCCCACCTGCCAGTTCCCTCTGCACGTTGACTGCGCGTTTGTACATCTTGATCGACTCGTCCCACATCTCCATGCTGTAATACATGTCGCCCGCGTTCCCAGCTGTGAGTCAGAACCCACTCAAAACCCTCTCTTCCATACACACGCTTGCAGATTCTCCCCACCCTACCTGTCAGTTCCCTCTGCACGCTGACGGCTCGTTCGAGTCGTCCCACATCTCCACCCCATGCCACAATACATGTCCCTAGCATACCTGCCAGGTCTCCATAGCATACCTGCCAGGTCTCCCCATCCCACCTGCCAGTTCCCTCTGTACGTTGACTGCGCGTTTGTACATCTTGATCGACTCGTCCCACATCTCCATGCCGTAATACATGTCCCCCGCGTTCTCTAGCAGGTCGTCTAGCAGAGGCTCAGCGGGGTGAGAGGCCACGAGGGCGAGAGCCTGAAGGGAAGATCGGGGTGGGGGAAGGGAGAGGGAGAGATGAATGGAGAAACAAAAGCACATCTCTCCATGCCGTAATAATTCTGAGTCGCTTTTGAGAATTCTCAAAAGCGATGCCGTAATACACGTTCCCCGCGTTTCTAGCAGACTGTCTAGCAGAGGCTCGGAGGGGTGAGAGGCAACGAGGTGAGAGCCTGGCAGGAAGGGATTGGGGGGGGGGGGAGGGAAAGAGGAGGAGAGGAGAGGGAGGGGAGGGAGGGGAGGGAGAGGTAACCCTCCAGCCTGATTTTTTTTTTTTTTTTCCTTCTATTCTCAACCACTGCACCCCTCATGTCTCGCGGTCTCACCTGATCCATCAACTCTCTCCCTACCCTCCCGCCCGCCCCATCCCCAAAATCTGTTGCAACATACCATGAACCTTGAGCCTGATTCCAGCCTTCCCCCACTGCACCCCTCACCACCGCACCAACCGCACCCCTCACCACCGAACCAACCGCACCCCGCACCCCTCACCTGGTCCATCAGCTGTCTCCCCTTGGCCTCCTTCCCCATCCCCAGCAGCAGCCGTGACAGCGCCAGTAGCACTGCTGATTGCTCCACACCCACTGCACCTCTCACCACCGCTCACCACCGCTCACCACCGCACACCGCGCCCCTCACCTGGTCCATCAGCTGTCTCCCCTTGGCCTCCTCCCCCATCCCCAGCAGCAGCTGTGACAGCGCCAGCAGCACTGCTGATTGCTCCACACCCGCCTCCCCTGCCGCCACCTGCCAGTAAGACAACAGGAGTAGAAGGTCGTGGGATGTGATGTGATGTGATGTGATGGGATGTGATGTGATGTGATGTGATGTGATGTGATGTGATGTGATGTGATGTGATGTGATGTGATGTGATGTGATGTGATGTGATGTGATGTGATGTGATGTGATGTGATGTGATGGGAGTTTTTGCGGGTAGAGAGAGAGGCGACTTTTGAGGCGCCTCAGAAGGTAACGTGATGTGAATGTGATGGGAGTTGTTGACATCGCAAAGCTCCTGCCACAGGGAACTGGCTGGAGGAGCATCACAAAGCAAAGAGGAGCTTTGGCCTCCTCAGGAGGAGGAGGCGATGCTCCCGTCGGCTCGGCAGCACTGGTGTGCCTGCTTCACCCCCGCCTCCCCTGCTGCCACCCATGGATTAGACGAACAGCCAGGAGAGACGAGGAAATAAGAGAAGAGACACAACACCAAGGGAAGGCTTGTATCGGCCACGTTTTGACACAGCTCACAACAGCGCCAGCCCAGCAGCACTGGTGTGCCTGCTGCTCCACCCCTGCCTGCCTCCCCTGCTGCTCCACCCCTGCCTGCCTCCCCTGCTGCTCCACCCCTGCCTGCCTCCCCTGCTGCCACCTGCCAGTCTTGACACGTCCCTCCCAAACTCCCTCCCCCACCAGTTTTCCTCTCACCTGTCCCATCACTTCGGCTTCACTTACAGCCACCAGCGCCATCGCCCCTTCCTCATCCATCCCCCTCCTGAAACAGCTGCACTGCACGGTGTTGCTCAACATCTCAGCCCTACTGTCCCTCACCTGCCCCATCACTTCAGCCTCACTAGCCGGCACCAAAGCCACCGCACCCTCCTCGCCCCCCTTTTAAAACAGCTTAAGTTATTGCGGCCCCCTCATATCATCCCCTACTAATTCGGCCCCCCCTCCCCCAGTGTCCTCCCTCACCTGTCCCATCACTTCAGCCTCGTTAGCCATCGCACGGCGTTGCTAAACATCTCACGGAGAGCCATCACCAAAGCCAACTAGAGCCATCGCACTCTCCGCATCCCCTTCTTGAAACAGCTGCACGGCGTTGCTGAACATCTCCGCCCCTTCTGTCACTCACCTGTCCCACCATCCCATTCCCTACTTTCCCCCCTTCCCCCAGTCCTCATCTCACCTGCCCCATGACCTCTGCCTCATTAGCCGCCACCAGCGCCATCGCACCCTCCGCATCCCCCTCTTGGAACAGCTGCACGGCGTTGCTAAACATCTCTGCAAGTTCCCTCTTTAGCTCCGCCCGCTCTGCTGCCACCTCGTGCCACTGGGGCAGGTAGGCGGGCTGGCTGGAGGGTGGGCGGAAGGGGAGGGACAACAGGACGGCACAGGGTGTTGCCTGCGAACAGGACACGCGTGTTGCAACTCCTACTCCCTCCTACTCCCTCCTACTCCTTCACTTGCTCCACTGTTGCAATTCACTTCTTCCATTCCTCAACCCCGCTTACTCACCTTCTACTCACTCACACTCTAAACCTCACTTACTCATCATCCTCGTCTCAAAAGTCACCTCACTTACTCATTGACTTTTGAGTCGACTCAAAAGTCAACTCACTTACTCATTGACTTTTGAGTCGACTCAAAAGTCACCTCACTTACTCATTGACTTTTGAGTCGACTCAAAAGTCACCTCACTTACTCATTGACTTTTGAGTCGACTCAAAAGTCACCTCACTTACTCATTGACTTTTGAGTCGACTCAAAAGTCACCTCACTTACTCATTGACTTTTGAGTCGACTCAAAAGTCACCTCACTTACTCATTGACTTTTGAGTCGACTCAAAAGTCACCTCACTTACTCATTGACTTTTGAGTCGACTCAAAAGTCACCTCACTTACTCATTGACTTTTGAGCCGACTCAAAAGTCACCTCACTTACTCATTGACTTTTGAGTCGATTCAAAAGTCACCTCACTTACTCATCATCCTCGTCTTGCTCTGCTCCTCCCTCCTCTTCTTTCTTCCTCTTCACCTCCTCCCCCGCCCTCCTAATAGCCTCCCCCTTCACCCCTCCCACGCCATCCCAGTCAGCCGCCCCTTCCTCCTCCAGGGCCTTCAAAGCCTCAGCCGCAGCTTCGGCCGAACCTGCCATCGCAGCCATGGCGTTCCGAGCCTCCACGGCTCTCTGCGCCGCCAGCTGGCGAGCTCCCGTTGGTGCCCCCGGTTGCTGGGAAACTTCCTGCAGCTCTCGGGCCTCTCGCAGCAATCCGAGAATGGCACCTGTCTGCTGCTCTATCTGCGCCACGTCAGCAGATATGGAATTTCTGAAAGAATAAAAGAGGTTTAAGCAAATGGGTGGGAGGACGGGTGGGGAGGGGGGGAGGAGGGAGGAGGGAGGAGGGAGGAGGGAGGAGGGAGGAGGGAGGAGGGAGGAGGGAGGAGGGAGGAGGGAGGAGGGAGGAGGGAGGAGGGAGGAGGGTGAAGAGGGAGAAAGTGGGGTTCTGGAGGGGTGGAGAGGTTTTAGAAGAGTAAAGCCATCCCACCAGCCAGTCACGACAGCCGAGGCAACTGAGAAGCGTATGCATCCATCTGGTGGGTTGGCTTTTGAGGCACCTCAAAAGCCATCCCACCAGCCAGTCACCACAGCCGAGGCAACTGAGAAGCGTATGCATCCATCTGGCTTTCCTGAGAAGTGGTTGGTGAGCTTTCCTGCAGCCCTAGCTGTAATGTAAGTCTCACACCAACCGCAAAAAAAAAATCCCTCCACTCACCCAAGCTCCAGAACTTGCTGTAAACCCAGTACTTAAAGCCCACCAAGCACTAAAGCACTTCCTCCACTCACTTGAGCTTCAGCACTTCCTGTAGCCCCAGCTCCGGAGTTAGTGACGTGGCAGTGCGGTCCAGCTCAGCAACCGTGGCCGCCACCGACCGCTGCAGCTCCGCCAGGTCATTCTCCATGTCAGCAATGGCCTCCCCTGCCAAGTCCACGTCAGCACCATCATCATCCGCCTCCTCTCTCGCCTCCCCTGATTGGCTGACGCTTTTTCGCTCAACCCAAGATGATGCGGCGTCTATTTCCTTCGCCAGCTCCTCCATCCCTCTTTCTAAACCCTCTAAACCCGCTTTCTCTAAACCCTCCTTGTCCAAACCCCCTCTTAAACCCTTGATAGAATCCTCCTTGTCAGCAGCGGCAGTTTCCAGAAACATCTGGTCGAACTTGGCAGATAGCGATTCCAGCGAGGCAACTGCTGACATGGCACTTTCGAACATCCTCTCTGCCTCCTGCACCTCTTTCAGATCCATGTTCAGCTCACGTGCCAACGCCTCTAGGTCCATGTCAGCATCCCCTGCCACGTCAGCACTCCTAGCCACGTCAGCTTCTCGGGAACGAGGGCCCGGTTCTCCCTCTTTGCCGGCCTCCAGGATTTCCGGATCCACTGCCTTGGGCTTCCCGGCTTCTTTCTTCCTGTAGATTTCACGAGAAAGAGGTTTAACAAAAATGTAGTTTCAACCAAACGTGAGCTACAGTAAGCTCGTAACGAGAGAGGATCCGCTTATAACGTGCTGCGGGTTTTTCACGAAAGTTGCACCAGCCACGCACCCTTCGGTTGAGTCGCCCCCGTCTGTGTCACCCGCGCCAGCAGCAGACCCGGTGCTTGCCGAATGAACACGGAACCTTCGCCGCCTACCATGGCTCGTGATTGACGCGATGCGGGCGCCGCGCGCGACAGGGGTAGTAGCAGGCGCACTCGGCGCAACCGCAAGTCTTTGCGCAGGACTATCGTTCGATCTACCGGTTCGTCGCGCATCTGCCCAGAAGATGCAGTGGCGAGCGGTCGGCGGGTGTGCGCTTCGGGCTGCTAAAACGCGGCCTGCAGGCGAAACGCGGCGCGAGTTTCCCAAAGTGTATCGCGCGGCGAGACAGCTCGACGTAGCTCGCGCCGAGCACGCTATAAGGGACGCGGTCGCCATGGTGTTGCGCTAACGTGCAGAGTGATTTACTGGGAACGCGCTTCAAAAGCCTGCTACCACGTTTCGGAGGAGACAGAAAGCTAGTAAGCCCGCAAATATGGCCGAAAAGCCACGCCCGAACAAAAAGGCCTTCATCTCTTCCCCTGTGGATTTTTCCAAGCTGTGAGCCTCGTCGCCGATCTCAACCGATATCACTTCTGGAGCAAAACTCGCCTTGACTGGATAAGTACTTGCCGTACAAACGTGGTTACCCGTTTCTGGCCAATAAGGAAGTCCCGATGGCTTGGAATGAAAATACGAACCTCGGCTATCAGGGATGGGTGAGCAGAATATGTGCGTCGCTCCATCGTCGTATGTGCGAAACTAGAACGAAAAAGGTAATAAAATGGTTACGAAGTTGGTGTTGCCCGCGCACCCTCAACCTAGCCACGCAGTAGGTGCAATTTCTAAGGTCCCGTTCTGACTGGCTCAACTCCTCGCATTGCTGCTGACGAGGCGACCGCATATTGGTGCTGCTGACCTTCTGCCCAAATCAACCACTGCGGTGACATTGTCAAGCTTGTCCTAATACATCAATGGTACACGTTTTGTGAGGATGGGGTGTTTCTTCAAGAGGGCGTGTTTCGGACCTCAGGTTCGAAATCGGGCCGAGTTTCGAATGGTCACAACCATTTCACGGGGCACACCGTGATCATCGTTCAAACAAATACCTGTGGAGAGTGATTATAATATTCTGTGCGGTCACGTACGGTATTTTGCGCTGAAAAGCGTTTCCTCTAACATCACAAACGTTTAGGTAGAGTTTAGATGTATTTTAACTGGTCATTTTCTGATGTTGCCACGTCTGGGTTCTGCTGGTGCTACTCTCTGCTATTTCTACTGCTACAACGGCCATACAGCAGCAAGCCGAGCTGTTGCCGCTTGATGTAGTTATTTCTGCGTGCATTGATCCACTCTACCCCTTTCTCGCTCAGGTCAAATCCTGCGATCTAGGCACAGTAACGCTTTGCGGTAATTAGACCCGTTTAAGTTTCAGTTCTAGGAGTTTCGTTCAGGCAAGGTGAAGCAGACATGGTAAATCAGGAGCAGCTTGACTCGCATATTGCACAACTGCACGAATGTAAACCTCTCACCGAGGCAGAGGTGCGTCGTCCGCCTATTAAGTTTCCGGGCTACCTCGACTTGATTAGTTCGGCTTCATAAGTTTGCGATACAGAGTCTGCGTTAGCCAGCGTCGTCCGAATTTGGACCGCACGATCTAAAATGTTAACGCATTTGTGTTTTATTCATTGCCGTGTCGACCTTCCTCATCTACCTACGTCGTGCACATTTTTATCAGGGTATCATTGTAACACGGCAATGTCGCGTCATTTTCCTGCATTAGGGTTTTAAATCTGAACGGCATAGTCCGTTTGTATTCTCCTGCAGGTGAAGGCCCTCTGCGAGAAAGCCAGGGAGATCCTGGTGGAAGAGAGCAATGTACAAGTAAGCTTTCTATTTTAATTTCGGCAAAGTTTCTATCTTAGCAATGCTCCAGTGAGTCTTTTAGGCTGATCCTAGCGGTTTTCGAGTTCGCTTTTCCAGATTGATCGTCGCAATGTTCGAGTCAGCTTTCCAGGCCGAGCCTCGCATTGTTTCAATAGGCACCCGACTAGAAAAGTGTTTTGCAGCAAACATATGTTATTGACGTAACGAGCCCTCTGAAACTAAGACTGAAGTAGCCTTTCGTGCTGATCCCTCGGCATCTCGCGAAGCCTACGACGCCTGTCGCGATTACTCAAATGTCCTCTTTCCGCCGAAGCGCTTGCTTGGAACAATGACATTGGTTACATTGTATCGTTGACAAAGTTAACTGCTTCATCGCACTTTGTGAACTCAGAGCTGGTTAAGTTAACGAACTTTTACTCGTTTCCGCCTTTACCTTTTTACCGCTCATTATCTAGCCCATGGGGTTGCAACCTGTCGCAACCTATCGGAAACTGTCGCGAGTTTACTCAAGCAACACATTGCTGTTTCTCATGTCATCTAGTTCCTGCTTATCAGTCGTACATTGATCAATTGTGGCGTTCTGGCGGCGTAACAATACTTTTTTCCCCACTGTTTCCATCTACTCTCATAATTTATCGTTTCATGCCAGCCTGTCAGGTGCCCAGTGACAATCTGTGGCGACATTCACGGGCAATTCCACGACCTCTCGGAGCTGTTCCGCATTGGCGGAAAGGTATGCTGTTCTAATCGCCATGCTAGGTTGGGTTTCCACATAGCACTCGCTCGATCTATTTTTGAAAGCATGTTTCAGATTATAGGGTTAAGTGGCTTACTCCGTGCGAGTGAGCTGCTGTAGCATTCTTAGTGAGCGAGTGTGGACAGAGTCTACTAGTGTTGAGCTGATTTCTATCCGTCGTTTTCCTGACGTCCCAGTCAGCTCGTCCCATGCCTTCTCTTCTTTCTCCATCTCCCCCGTATATCTCTTCCCCAGACTGCAGTCACCAAACACCAAGTACCACTTTATGGGGGACTAGGTCAATTGAGGCAGCTGTTGTGCTTACTTCCGGTTGCATCTCTTCACCTCTCCCACTGCCTCCCACTGCCTCCCACTGCCTCCCACTGCCTCCCACTGCCTCCCATTGCCTCCCACTGCCTCCCACTCCCTGCATGCAGTCGCCAGACACCAACTACCTCTTCATGGGGGACTATGTCGACAGAGGCTACTACTCTGTCGAGACAGTGACTGTAAGCTTTTTCACTTAAACCCCTTGTTTACACTCGCATCTAATGTACGAAATTCCGCTGAAATTCCGCCATCCAATGTGCTCAAGCATTCATGGCTGAGGCTCTACTCGTTCTCGCTGCTACTCTGCTGTTGAGTGTCCACCACACCACCCACATGTCTCCACTCGACCTCACTCACACTTACTCTGTTCTGCTGTCTCTCCACCTTCCGCATACCCCGCCCACAGCTGCTGGTCTCGTTGAAAGTGCGCCATCCGGATCGCATCACCATTCTCCGAGGGAATCACGAGAGTCGCCAGGTGCGTACTCAGGCTTGCTGCGGCTAGAATCCAGGAGTGTTTCAGGAGCTCCTGCTTGCTGTGGAACGCAGGTACTATAGTCAGCTTCTTTTTCTACAGGTGATTCTTGCTTGCATTCATGTTGAGTTTATCCCTGTTCCTCCCCCACCGCTCCCCACAGTTAGTCATGCATGTTAATTCATGCCTCCCTCCCTCCTTCTGTCCCTCCGTCCCTGCGTCCCTCCCTCCCGCCCGCCATCCCTCCGTCCCTCCCTCCCCTCCGTCCCTCCCTCCTCCCTCCCTCCTCCTCCTCCCTCCCTCCCCCCTCCGTCCTCCCTCCCTCCCTCCCTCCCTCCCTCCCTCCCTCCCTCCTCCCTCCCTCCCTCCCTCCCTCCCTCCCTCCCTCCCTCCCTCCCTCCCTCCCTCCCTCCCTCCCTCCCTCCCTCCCTCCTCCTCCCTCCCTCCCTCCCTCCCTCCCTCCCTCCCTCCCTCCCTCCTCCCTCCCTCCCTCCCTCCCTCCCTCCCTCCCTCCCTCCCTCCCTCCCTCCCTCCCTCCCTCCCTCCCTCCCTCCCTCCCTCCCTCCCTCCCTCCCTCCCTCCCACCCTACCGCCCTCCCTCCCTCCCGCCCTCCCTCTCTCCTATTCCATCCGCCTTCCTGAAGATCACGCAAGTCTATGGCTTCTATGACGAGTGCCTTCGCAAGTGAGTGCTGGAATGAGTATGCTTGTAGCGGCACTTCCCGCACTGGGAGAACAATGCGTAGGGAGGGGGGGGGAAGGGTGGGGGGGGGGGGAGGGGAAAGGGGAGCGGCTGCTTCTCCTTGCACATGCTTGCACATCAGTTACAAATGACAGATTCAGTTGCAAGTCACCCTGACCTACGGTTTCTGTGATAAGTGTTTGTGAGAGTGCCTCATTCTATCCTTTTGTTGCCACACTCAGATTTCTCCCTTTCATATTTTCTCACTGATTGCTGTCCGAAATATCAACATTGTTCTTAACTTCTCACACCCAAACCACACAAACCAATGCCATGAAATGCCAAACAATGCCACACATTGCAGGTACGGCAGTGCGAGTGTGTGGAAAATGCTCACAGACCTCTTCGACTACTTCCCTGTCACTGCTGTGGTATGCGGCAACCATCCATTCTACTTCGTTCGTTCCTCTTTATGATCAATGTTTCTGCAATGCACTCCCTCCCTTCTCCCTCCCTTCCCCTCCCCTCCCCCACCCCCCGCACCCCCTCCCTCTGACAACGCTCTCACTCACTCCTGTGGTACTTAATCTGCTCTCACTACCACTGCCATGCCATGCCCTCCTCCCTCATCCTCCCTACTTTCACTGCCAATACCCTCCAATGAGTTTTGCTTCTGTAGTGTTATTGCCATTCAATTGCAGCCTCCGTTGCGCTTCTCCCCCCTCCTCTGATCTCTCCACTTCTCTCTCTCTCCCCAGATTCCCCCTCTGCTCTTCAACCCCTTCCCCTGCCTGCTTCCTCTTCTGCTCCCTCACCCTCCCTCTCCCCTTCCGTCCGTCCCTGTTCAGGTTGAATTGGAAATCTCCGATGTGCATGGCCCCTTGTTCCCTCCTCTGCTCCCTCCCCTGCTCGCCTTCCCCCCTCCTCCTTCCATCCGGTGGAGTCAGAGATCTTCTGTCTGCACGGGGGGCTGTCGCCGTCAATAAACTCACTGGACCACGTCAGGCAACTCGACCCATTGCCACCTTCCCCCCCCCCTGCTCCCTCCCCTGCTCCCCCTCCCCTGCTCCCCCTCTCCCCTCCTCCCGTTCCCCTGCTCTGCCACCTACCTCCCATCTCTCAGGTCGAATCAGAGATATTCTGTCTGCACGGTGGGCTGTCCCCCTCAATAGACTCGCTGGACCACGTCAGGCAGCTCGACCGCATTCAGGAGGTGCCTCACGAGGGGCCCATGTGCGACCTGCTCTGGTCCGACCCGGACGACCGCTGCGGCTGGGGTATCTCCCCCCGTGGTGCTGGCTACACCTTCGGGCAGGTACGGTGCGGGTGCCTGTGCTTCTGTGTATGCTTTCGGTTAAGGAATGGCATCACAATACTTGCCTCTCAATGTGCCTCACGAGGGGCCCATGCGCGACCTGCTCTGGTCCGACCCGGACGACCGCTGCAGCTGGGGTATCTCCCCCCGTGGTGCTGGCTACACCTTCGGGCAGGTACGGTGCGGGTGCCTGTGCTTCTGTGTATGCTTTCGGTTAAGGAATGGCATCACAATACTTGCCTCTCAAGGTGCCTCACGAGGGGCCCATGCGCGACCTGCTCTGGTCCGACCCTGACGACTGCTGTGGCTGAGGCATCTCTCCTCACGGGGCTGGCTACACCTTCGGTCGGACAGGTTATTGTGGATGACCGTAAGTCAATTGTTTTTTAGAGCCCTCACTGGTACGTACATCAGATAGGGCGCATGACTGACAAAACTGTTGGCTTGTCTTTTGCGCGTGCCGCTCCTCCCTATCTCAGTCTGTGGCTGATGAAGCATACGTAAACCAAGTGAACAAAAAAAGAAAAAAGGAATCAATACTGCCACTTTGATGTGTCCTTCATTTCGCTTTTACTTCCCCTCCCTCGCCCACTCTACCCCACCCACGCCTCCCCACCTGCTCCCTCGCATCTACTCCCCTCCACACACTCCCCCCTCCACAGGACATATCAGAGCAGTTCAACCATAACAACGGGCTGAAGCTGGTGGCAAGAGCACATCAACTAGTGATGGAGGGATATAACTGGGCGCACGTGAGTCTCTTTCTTAGACCCCCTCCCCCCATTTCGCCATCACCTCCTTTCCTTTTCCCCCTCCTCGCCTCCTCTTCCTATCCTCTCCTCCTCCTTTCCTCTCCTCTCCTCCTCTCCTCCTTCCCTTTCCTTCTCTCTTCTTTTCCTGCTCCTCTTCCCTTCCCATTCTCCTTTCCACTCCTTCTGCACGTTTCTGTGTTTTTCTGAACCTCTTATTCCTCACATCCTCCCTGCCCCACACACTCCCTGTCCTCGCACTCCCTGCCCACACACTTTTCCCCCACACACTCCCTGCCTCACACGCTCCCTGTCCAACATGTGTTTGGCTGCACCTAACCCCTCCCTCACATGTACCTTTACCAGGAGCAAAAAGTGGTAACCATCTTCAGCGCACCCAACTACTGCTATCGCTGCGGTGAGCCTATTGCTCTCTCACCAAAGCCGTGCCTCTCACTCACAAAGCCTTGCCTCCCCTTGAAGCTTTGTCTCTCACTTAGCTTTTCCTCTCACATAAGCTCTCCTCTCGCTTAGCTGTCGCTGTTATTAAGTGTGCGGTCGCTTCAGCATGCTTACCCACCCACTCGTGCCTCCTGCCCAACACATCCATCCCCACCACACTTCACCGCACTTTACCGCAGGCAACATGGCAGCTATTCTGGAGGTGGATGATGCGATGGGGCACACCTTCATTCAGGTATGGCCTCTCCCACACAGCATCACACCGCACCGCACCACACCTCACCTCACCTCACCACTGCAGCAACATGGCGGCTGTTTTCGAGATGGATGGTGCCATGGGGCACACCTTCATTCAGGTCTAGCCCCTCCTGCACCATCCCACCACGCCACACCACACCACACCGTACCGCACCTCACCGTATCACTCAATTTCAGCTCTTTATTGAAATGTCTCGTAACTCGATCCAGTGAAACTGCTCTTCGTTTCACCCTACCTGCCTTGCCCCTGCTACCTTGCATCTGCAGTTTGAGCCAGCACCAAGAAGAGGAGAGCCTGATATCAGCAGGAGAACACCCGACTACTTCCTTTAAACAAGTCTACATTGATTCTTCACCAAGCCAAAACAAAATCTTGCAACAATACACCACTAGACACCAGACTGGTTCTCATTATAGTTTGGATGAATACCATTGCAGTGCCTAGCATGGAATTATTGCACGTGGCTCTAAGAGCGTATTCCTATCCTCGTATCAAGAGAACCTCATATCAAGCTCCCACGGAAAATTCCCTTGAACCCAAAACCTCTCGCTAGTTTTACCAGGCAAAAAGTGCAATCTTCATATGAGGTTCTCTTGATACGAGGATAGGAAAACGCCCTAACCATCCGCATATCTACCGTATGATTGTATCATTTGTTCTGCCTAGTTAGCAGGATTATATCTCTATTATTCAACCCAATTTGCTACTTGCTATGTTTACGACTATCTGTGCGAGGAGGATCACTTGACTAAAGTACCGTAAATACCGTATTCCCCTACACAAAACACTCGTAAGGTGGTGTATTGGATACATTGAAACACATGGTGGGTTGTAATGGAAGAATGTGTATAAGACCCTAGGCCACAAGGGTCCCACACAGGGTCCTCGTTATCAGACCAAATCGGTCTGATGGTCTGAAAATCAGACATACCGGTACCGTATGGCCCCGGATATAGGCGCCGTCCGATTAAAGGCGCCGGCGCTTCTATCTGAACCATGGCGCTTATGGCCGGAACTCGATTATAAGCGCCCCCCTTGTAAACCCCTGACAGGTATGGGCAAATTGACGTGGCAAATGCTCTGTTCAGTGTCAGAGAATCGCCCTCGCGCGATTCTGATTCAGGACGCTGTAAAATTTCGTTCGATTGAACTTACGAGACAGAAATGTACAATTTGGTGCGTTTAAGTTGTAATTCTATATTTATCATTATAAAAGCGCCGGCGCTTATGGCCGATACTCAATTAAAAGCCCCCCCCCCCCAAAAAATTGATTTTATTATAAGCGCATATGCGCTACTATCCGGGGTGATACGGTGCTTTTTCCATTTCATCTGATTTTGTAGACAAACGATTTTTGTTCGTCTGAACCAGAAGACGAGTATTTTCTGAAAAAACATACTCGGCGTTATATTTCGCCTGTGAAATCAGATAGGGCGTACATTTTCGTCTGACACCCAAGTATCGAGTGCTACCCCCCCCCCCCCCCCCCCCCCCCCCCGCAACCGCTCTTCAGCCCCCCCGCAACCCAATTCCCTCGCTCGCTCCTTGTCACTAACCAGCCAGCCACCCAATCAAAACCCAGCTTTCCCCGAAGCGAAGTTCTCCCCGCCCCTCACAAACCTACGACGCTCATGCCCTACCCAGCCAAACCTCCCAACCTCCCTGTCCCTCTTATCAGCCCAAAACCCGCACCCCCCTATCCCCCTCCCTCCTGTCGCAGCCCAACCCTGTTTGTGTCGCCGCGGTAAAAGCACAACAGTACAACAGTTTACAAAAAGTAGAGACAACAATTATTGTTTCATCTGAGAAGTGAGACATGCCTTTTGCATTTATTTGAAAAATCAAACAAAAAAAAATCCCTCGTCAGAACATTAGACGAAACGATTTTTTCTATAGATGTTTTCAGACGGGCTGAAATCCTAGAAAGAGCCCTGGTCCCACAACAATGTGTAAGAGGAGTGCAGTGTTAAAATACACTCATCTCTGTATGTGCACTCTGTAAGCTAGCAAGGGTTGCACCATAGAGGGTATAGAACATTTCATATGCCCTCCTTGTGTACTCTTGCTAGTCATTCTTCATCGCTAGGTTCGGACCGTCGCTTCAGCCCAACCTCCCCTAGCTAACCCTAGCACCCTTTCCATTGCGCCCCTCTAGCGGCGCCCGTCGCGCCCCTCTGGGTCCCCGCCCAGTGACCCCATAATGCCCCTCCCTAGTGCCCCGCTCTTTAGTGCCACACCTGGCAGCCTCGTCGTGCCCTGCCCTATCACCCCGCTTGGCAGCCCCGTCGCGCCCCGCTCTAGCGCCTCGCTTGGCGGCCCCGTCGCCCATCCGCGCCTGTCGCTCCACGCGCCAGTGCTCAACACGACCGCTCCTGCTGCCGCCACGCCTACTGCGCTCGCGCCTACCGAAGCGGCGCTCGTGCCTGCCACGCCCGCGCCTACTGCCGCCACGCCTACTGCCGCCGCGCCTGCACCCGCACTCGTGCCTGTCGCCGTCGCGCTCGCCGCGCCTGCCGAGCTCGCGCCTGCCGCACCTTTGCCTCTGCCGCTCACGCCAGCTGCGGACGCGCATGCGCCTGCCGCCGCCTCCAGCACCTGCTGCGTCCGCACCCGTAGCTGTCGCTCCCTCGCTTACCACGCCTCCAGCAGCACCTAATGCGCGCCTGCCCTGTGCGTTAGGGTGCTGCTGGTCGCCACTCATGTTGTCGTGAGTTCGGGTTTAGCCCCACTTTCTCCTCCACCTGTCGCTATCACCTCACATAAGCTGCTGTTGTGCGCCTGCTCCTGCCATGACGTTCGAGTTCATACGGCGGATCGATACGGAGGGGCAGGCAGTCGCCTTTGATGCGTGGCTCCACAACGTCAAGCTCCGCCTGCAGAGTGGACGACTTTGACGTGTGGCTCCTCAACGTCAAGCTCCACCTCCAAAGCTAGCTCTAGGGTGGCATCCCCGTGGACGCCCACGCCTGGGGTGAGCTACCTGGCCCCACACGTCCTAATCATCTTGCTGCTGATGCCACCTCGACGGGGCAGAAGGCACACGGCGATGCCCATCTTGCGTCCACCACTTGGAAGTCGCGTGACGCTGCTGCGCGCCTTGCTATTTGTCTCCTCCTGCCTACCTGGTGCACTTTCGCCAGGTCGAGACAGAGAAGGGGTGCTTTGAAGTTATGATTGCTCACTACTCCACCCCCTCCTGCTTCTCTAGGGCGCCCACTCATGTCTTTTCTCTTCCCTAATTTCCTTACGTTCTCCTATGTTGCTGACCTTATCACCTACCGGTTTTCGCTTGATGCCGGTTTCCGTGTTGCTCTCACTCTTGTCCAGCTTGCTAGGCAGTCCCCCGTCCCCCCCATATATATCACCCTGCACCTCCTCGCGACTCTCCTTCCTAACCGCCTCGCGTCTGCTTGCGACGCCCTCCTCGCCATGCACCCCGATGACCTCACGATCGATCTCCTTGAGACTAGTCTCACTAAGATCGAGACCCGCCTCCCCACCATCGCCGCCACCATTGGTGTAGTTGTCCCCCTCATCTATGAGGGGTGCGCTCCGCCCTAGCTCCCTACCTCCACTACCACTACTACCACTACTACTGTTGCAAAGCCTACTATTACATAGAAGGTCGCAACCGTCGCTGCTCCCTTTGGTGGGCGCGGACGGCGCAGGAGTGGTCGTAGCCGTGAAGGAGGGAGAGGTGTTGGTACGTGGGGTGGTGCTGATGCGGGGAGTGCTGGCTTGGGGATGTTGCCGTAGGAGGTGCTGGTACTGAGGGTGCGGCAGTGACTCAACAACAGCAGCAGCAGCGGCTGTCACTGCCGTCACCGCAGCAGCAGCAGCAGCAGATCCAGGAGTGGGTCTCTCAGTGGCAGTGGGGAACTCTGGGCCCAAGTATTGTTGGCCATAGTGACGTTTCTGATAGCTGGGCATCGCGTGCTCCCCCCCACTGGGCCTTTACCAGTACCAGCTTGTGTCTAGTCCCCAGCAGCTGCCGTAGTAGCACCCGCCGCAGCAATTACAACAACCGTCATCACCACCTGGGTCTGCACTTTGCCTTCTTGGTCTTTCTCACCCCTCGATTGACCAACCACTTGCTCCTCCCGGACCGTCTCTCCCAGTCTACGGTCCAACGATTCTCCCCCCGGTCACGTCTCCGGCTCATCTTCCTTCGCATTCATAGCTATCTCCTCCTCTATCTCCTGACCTTACTCCTCCCTCCCACCACTGGGACCGTCATCCATCTCCTTCTTGCCCCGTGTCTCCCGTTCCTTGTGTCCACTTTGTACTCCTCCTCTCGCGTCTCTCGTGCTCCTCCATCCCCTGTTCTCCCTCGCCTCTCCATCGTCCCTTCCCGTCTCTTATCCTCCGTTCTCTGACTTTCTCCGTGCCGCTCGCCCTACGGTCTCCCGTGTCCTTTCTTCCCTCGTTACCGACTCACTACTCCTCCTCCGTCCGTCTCTGCTCTTGTCACTGCTCTCGTGACTTTGCCTCCACCCACTGTCTTCACTACTCGCCACTCAGTTGAATCTCTGCCCATGCCTGTCCTCCGTCCGTTGGGGGTGCTTCTGCCTTTGGCAGTGATGTATTGGAGGAACAGGCAGCACGAGCTGGCTTTACTTAAGACCGCTGCTCCTCATCTCTGCGCCATGCTGCTTGCCCATTAAGGCGACTCAAACGCTCTTGACATCCCGACCCCTTGCACCTACGCTGAAGCAGTCTTAGGACCCTCGGCCTCTCAGTGGATAGCAGCCATGGACACAGAGATAGCATCTTCGAGGTCCACACGCACGTATGTTTACGCAGTTCCCCCTCCTTGGACGAAGGTAGTGGATGGCATGTGGATCATCAAGGTGAGCCGCCTGGAGGGCCGTCTATCTTGAAGGCGTGCTATGTGGTTAGAGACTTTAGTCAGCGAGAGGGGGTAGACTTCTTCCGTACCTTCTCCCCCACCTTAAAGATGATCTATCTTAGGGTACTGCTGCACATCGCAGCGCAGCGCGAATACGAGCTTCACACGCTTGACTACTCCACTGCCTTTCTCCAAGGCAGCCTGCACCAACAAATCTTCCTCTGCCGCTCATCTCGCTTCACTGTATCCTTTCTTCCATAGACCAAGTGGAGCCTTCGACGACCCGTCTACGGTCTGCATGGGCTAGGCTGCTGAGGAGACACGCTTGCACTGACCTAGGTGAGTTGTGATTCTATCGTGGCCTGCAAATTATTAGGGACATAGCAGCACACACCGTCACTCTCACTCAGTCACACATGGTGAAACAGATCGTCTTACGCTTTGGCATTTGAATTTTCTCTGCACAATCCTCTCCTCTGCATGTTGGCCATACGCTCTCGGCCCCTGTCCATGATGAGCCTGCTGATCCCAGTGATCAATACGCAGAGCCCTTGGGGTGCCTCATGTACCTGATGACTTGCACTCGCCTAGATCTCGCATATCATCTTAGCATCCTTGCTAGCTTTGCGACTGGGAGACAGTGACCTGAGCACTGGTTGGCTGCTAAGAGGGTACTGTGCTATCTGCTTAAGGGTACATTCCTGTGTCGACATTTGTGTCTCAATGCCCTTTTTCCCGAGTCGCGTCTGTAAATTTGCCTAGCCTCACGTCACAAACAGCTGATGTATCGCTACATTGTGCGACTGATTGAGGGGTCCAGTTGGTCGATTTTTATTGGCTCACACCATTTGATTCGAGCCTGGAGGTTTTGGCGCCATGAAGAGCTGCAAAAACTTGGTGTGTGAAACGAGCCCATCAAAGCGGGTCACAATAACGAAGCATGCAAGTCCTGTGCTACGAGTTGGTTAGGAACAACACACACAAGTGCAAAGTAGAGGCACATGTACAAGTATGCATAGCAAGCAAAGCACATACAAGCAGCAGGTCTAGCTGCAAATGCAACCATGGAAGAGCCCCGTGCTGTGCCTTTCCTCATGCGACTGCTAGTCGCATGGATCACGTCCTACTTCTCTATTTTTATGGACGTGGTCGCTGTCAACGGGAGTTGTGTGTTGGCCCCGTCCTCGCTTGGGCGGAGCCGACTTCGTGGTCGGGTGTAGGGGTGCAGCCGACCTGCAGCAGTGGGCGAGCTGGTCGACGAGGAAGTCGACCTGCACGGGCGCCACTCCATGGGCGCCGACTTCAGGATGGCGCCGACTTCAGGGAGGTCGACCTGGGAAGTCGACCTGCGGAGGGCGTCGACTTGGTGACGCCAACTCGGGGCAGCCGACTTGGGTGGTCGGCTGACAGGACCGCTGATCGACCTGGTGGTTGGTCGACCAGGCGTGATGTCGACCTGGTGGTCGACCGAACATGTGTTCGACAAAGGAGGGGCCGACGTCGACCTCGACAGAGGGATTCAGGACGCCGAGTAGCAGGGCGTCAACTTGGTGACGCCGACTTCGGGTAGCCGACTTTGGGGGTCAGCTGACAACTGTGCTGGTCGACGAGGAGCTGGTCGACCAGGAGTGACGTCGACCTGGAGCTGGTCGACCAGGAGCGACGTCGACCTCAAGCTGGTCGACGAAGAGTGTGGTCGACGTGACAAGGTCGACTGGAAGTGGTCGTCGACCTGGGTGGTCGACGGGCACGCGCAGGTCAGCTGGTCAACGTGGTTGCCAGGTTGACCAGGTTTCCAGGGTGACGAGGTTCTGCGAAGGCACGCGACGGTCGCCCAGGCGACGTTGGCGAGGACAACCTCAATGGTGGTATCCCGAGGTCGACGTGGCTGATCAGAAGCAGTCGTCAGCACGAAGTTGACTTGGTGTGTGCGCTGTGCAGGTGACGAGGCACTGCACGCCAATCATCAGTGAGCACCTGCAAAGCAGGTGCGCTGCTGTCCTGCGGGAGCAACGTTGGCACGCCGTCAACCTGCGACGTTGGCACACCGTCGACTTGCAGCATTGGCAAGCCGCGACTTTGCACTGCTGGAGCGCGGTTGACCAAGTCGTGCTGGCATGCGGTCGACCGTGCTGCGCTGGCAGTAGACTTGCTTGCATGCTAGCTCTGATGTAGTCTAGTCTTGCCAACTTCATTGTACCATTGTTGTCAACTTTTCTTAGTGAAACTCTTGCCAAATTGCCCCGTGAACTAGCAAGCAGTGTGTGCACTAGGAAAACGACTAAGGAACAACGAACGCAGAGATCACACGAGCACCCGTGCCTAACCCGTAGTCTAGCTCCCGTTGTAGTAGTTATCTCCGCATGGTGCGGTGAGCGTGGACGGCACACGACTTACCTTTCAGTCAGGTCGACGTAGACATCACTTACCTAATTCGTGGTTGTAGGCCGGCAGCTGTGCGGTAGTCACTATGGTAGGAGCCGTAGGTGACGCGGGGGTGGTGGACACCCTAGAGGCACGGCTGGAGGACGCGAGGAGACGCCATGACGCCCAGGAGTACGGAGCAATACCCTGGGCGGTCGTCGAGGCTGGACTCCGCACCATGTGGGCGTTGGAGCACCCTTCTCGACCTGCCTCTCCTCGACCGGTGAACGACGAAGGCAGCGCTGACGTGGGTGTCAACGTCGGTGGTGGTCAAGTCGGCAGTAGTGCGGGAGGCACGTCGAGGCAGCGTGGTGTGATTCACGCCGATGAAGTCGGCGGCGTTCAGGCACGAGGGATGCGGTCGTCGGCGGCTGCAGGCTCCT